CTGTGTGTATATGTGTGTGTGTGTGCGTGCGTAATGGAAGAGAGAGGGAGTGTGTGTTTGTGTGTGAGAGAGAGTGAGGGGGGCGGTTGGGTGTGGGCACGGGTGGGTACGTGATTGAAGAATGTGTAATATCTATTTTGACCTTACTTAATGGTATAATGTATATATTTGACCTTAACATGTTCGTTTATTTACTGTATTGCCACAGCATGTTTGACCATTATTAAAAAAATTGACTTAATCATAACCATTTATATGATTGATCCCATGGTTCAGATGTATTCTTATTTCTCGCATTAACTACCATTCTCATATGATCCCTTCTCTCTCTCTCTCTCTCTCTCTATATATATATATATATATATATATATATATATATATATATATATTTTCAAGTTCAAATATCATATTCTAAAAATTAACATAACTAAAAGTATAATATTCGATAGAATTAGTATGCGTTTTTGCTTAAAAAAATATGACGAATCGATACGTCTAATTAGTACACTGCCTTACACAAGAATATGTGTATTTAATTATGAGGTATTATGAAAGTTTTCCACGGTCTTATCAGCATAACGGAAGCTTTCTGATTTAATAAAGACTAGCACAATACCCGTGTATTACAAAGGTGTTTGTTAAAAAATTATTCTTAAATTTTAAAATTAATGAGAAAAATTATTACAAATTTTATATACTTTTTTACAAAAAATATATATTATTATATATTTTAGAATGACAATTGTTACTTGTGCGAGTTAAATGTGTTATATTATAGTGATTTTTATAACTTATATCATATAACTACTTCAAATATAAATATATTAATTGACTTGAAATATCATATAAGCATTATTATCAATGAGTTTATTTAAATATATTATTGGAGTAGCTCACTTATACTAGGCCATAGCTCGATCAAACTGGGATGACTTGGGAAAAGACGAACCTAGTTCAGGTCGAAAGAGCATGTAGCTCGGATGAACCTAGCTCAGGTTGTTGAGAACGAGGTCCGGATCAAGATAGGGGCGCAAGCTAAAGACAATGTTGGGCTAAGACTCTGGGTTAGTCTGTTGGATGCTCGACATGAAATCTAAAGTTGCTACGCAGCGAAAGACTGAGGAGCACTAATATAAAATATTAGCTAAGTATGTAAAGCCAAAACGTGTGGGGAACGGACTTGCATGCAAATCTTGGTAGATATATGGTCTAGAAAGCGCTACGTTGGACATGGGTGCGAGTGCCCTCTGCTCATGGAGGAACAGAAACGCCAAGATCTCAACAAAATATGGACATTAAGTTAACAAGGTAACCTATATAAATAACTTGAGGACATGTATAAAAACCCTAAGACCTAATATCAACCGCATATAACATACATTAGATATCTGAGAGAATAGTCCTAACTTGAGCGTTTGGAGACTCTATGCTTAGATACTCTCGACGTTGTTTTGCACATAACATGAGCAATTCAAGGGACGATTTGAGTAACGTTGGATCATGGTTCCAGAAGTCGCTAGGCGCTCGACCAGCGCTTAGCGCTTAGGCGGCGCTTAGGCGGGGCCTAGAAAATTAAGATTAAATACCTTATTTTTTATTTATTTTCACTACCTACAAAATGAAACTATCTCAGTAAATAATAAATCAACACATCTAAGTCCAAATAATAATATTAATATATTATAAGAAAAATTGGACCGCGCCGAATTTCAATTTTTTTTTTTGATTTTGCAAAACTTCAATTTTTTTTTTTTAATTTTACAATTTCGG